AGTCGCATGAAGGGTGCGCTGCATCCTGCTAAGGGTGTTCGGCATCTTGTGTTCCTTCCTTGCGTACGGACGACAGCTGCGTATGGCTCAATTTATCTTCTGGTGGTTTCACTTCCAGAGACAGTTATAAGCACTCTGTAACTGCCTCGAGGGTGCATGACCATTTGAACACGACAGGGTGCGATCATCCCCCTTGCGCNGGGGGCGATCGATTTCAGGATCTAAACTTGACAACGAAAAAATCTGCCTGTACTGTGCAACTCGCGTTTCCAGGCCCTTTGCCTTTCCCACCAGGAAAAAGGCAGTGTGTGTTTTTACAACCTATGCCAATATTGAGCACCGGGGCCAGGTGAACCAACGGAACTCAAGACCCTTCACGACGGTGCAAGTTAGTAGCACGATGAGCCCACAGAGCGACTGCAAAGGCAGCGGCAGACGTGACGACGGCAAGGTGCCCGTACAGCAGCTCGTCGGTGGAGGTGCATTCGAGAGGCGTCTCCTTGGGTGGGCATGTTGCGTCTATGTGGCGCGAGGCCGTGAGGCACTTACAGTTTGAATCTAGCGTAGACGGCACCGTTGCTGCTGGCGTAGGCGTTTGTCCTGGAGCAGGGATTGGTCCAGGAACAACATGGCGAAAGGAGAAGGGGCGATGGGTTCAGCTGGTAAAGGCACGAGTGCGGTGGCAAAGGTGCGAACAGGAGATCTGGTGGGGCTATTGCAGCAGCAGTGCGTTGGAGCAAGCGTTCGCGAGTCCTCTCGTCGGGGACCGCCCATGCTTTAGCCGCCCCCCGGCCCCGTCCTCCCCTGAACAGGTTCTCGGTCGACGGTATCAAGCCGAAAACCTCTCGTCGACAACAACAAAAATGTAACGTAGTTCACCTTTCTGCCACAGACAGAACCTACCGCCCCCCGCTGAACCCCAAGCTTGGAATATTCAATACCGGGAACTGTCTACCGTCGGGGGGTGGGGGCTGTCCTTCTTGCACCCGGTGGTCTACCAAGTACAGGGAGGAAAAACGCATGCTACTTGCGTCAAATATTTCTGCTAGGTGGTGCCTAATGTTAGGCCGTAGACCTCGGCGCGACACGAAAGAGGTAAAGACGCGCCCCTGGCACAGTTGCTTGACGGCGACAGACCGCAACGACGGCACCAAAGGTACCCGTTGCTTTTTTTCTGCGGAGCAACAACGTTGGGGGCGCCCCCTCCCATACTTTGCCGCCTGGCAGGAGACCCCTTAACCCTCATCGCCCCCCCCCGCTGACCT